ATAGGTTTGTCATCCAATTAGAGCGGATTTGTAAAAGGTGCCAGTGCTGCCGAGGCCATTCATACTACACGGATAGTGATGGCGATATATAGAGGAAACTTAGAGAGCTAAATGCGACTTTTTTTCTGCATGGAAAAAGCTTTCGACAATGTACCCCATGATGTCATATAACGGTCCTACGAAAGCGCATGGTTGCAGAATTACGTCCCGGATAAAAAGGATCTATCACGGAGCCAGAGCCATGTGCCAACTGCGACAGGGCAGTCAAAACCATTCCGCATGAACATCGGCGTACACCAGGAATCGGCGCTCTTCCTCCACTCTTTATCACAGTTATCGCCGCAGCAAAGGAAGGAGCTAAAGCTACAGCTTCCATGGGCTCTCCTGTATGCAGATGATTGGCATTACAGAAAACAGGAAAGAACTAAAAGATGAGGCATAAAGATGGAAGGGCTAGTCAGGGAAGTACGGTTCAAAGCTCAACACAATGAAAACAGAGTATATAGGAGGAGGTTAAACTTCAAAAACCATACACATCGATGATGATCTAATCAATTCAAATACTTTCAAACATTTAGTGAGTCGCATTTCTGGCGAGGGAATACTTCTAAATGAGCTATCGTGCGAACTCATCTGTCCAACAGTACTGTATAGCAGTGAAGGTTGGCCAATAACGCGAAATGAAGAACACAAGCTTAATGTCATCGAAAGAGAATGTTGCGGATATTGGGTATCACCTTGCTCTAACATGCTATAATGACACAGTTCGAGCTAGGATTGAAGTTGTTCCCATCACAAATAAATCTGTTTAAAGACTGCGATGGTACGGGCAGTGAGTAGAGGAGATGAGACCCACATCAGAAAATGGCAATGCCTATAAAGGTTGCTGGATAAAGACAGCGAGGTCAGAGATGAGGTGGATGGGCAGAATTAAAGCGACTCGAGAGAGCTTAGCAGGTGAACATCATGACTTGCATTGGGAATACTGAAGACAGTTCCCTCATACAGCAAACTCTTTGTAAGCGAAGAGATGCGAAGATCCTAAAAATGGCCTGATAATATTGAATAATTTTGTTAATGATTGTGCCGATGTAGAGTAGATGATGGCCAGCTTCCATTACTAGCCTGAAACAATTCTTCAAACATAAGTTTTATGAAGGGATTAGCTCATAGGTCGATACTTGCCACTAATTTGTGAATGAATGATCTAAAATGGTTTTCTACTCGTTCTACACTTGAATTAAATTATAAATACAAAGAATGTCCGATTTTTTATGGAAATGCTTCTTCAAAAAAACATCTTTTCCATGAGGATAACTTGACAACAGAGTTTGATCTCTAAAAAAACCTATTTATTGTTTTCGCTGAGTCGAAGGAATTCCTCCAAGACAGGGTTCGGCGGCCGTCTCCAGTGTCAAACCGGAAATAGTGTTTGGGGAGGAAAGCAAAGGGAAAATGTACGGGACTTTCTCAATATGTGTCAACAAGAATGAAAAGGATTACGAGCTCATCTGCGCGAGAGATGCGAATAAAAATTTTTAACAGTTTACTTAAACCTGTTTTCATAAACAAATATCGATGGACATCCTTAAAATATAGTGGGAAGATGCGCAACAATGAGTTTAAAGAATGTATGCAAAATCTTCGAAACTATCAAAATAGGAAAAATCGCCGCCCCTTTTCGTGGATTAAGTCTCCAGCGGAGACCTACGGGGTATTTCAGGTCTTCAATTAGCAAACACTAGGGTACATCCTTAAAATCAGATTTTTTAATGCTTGACCTGTTTTCAACGAAAGAAGTTAGGAACCTTAACGAACATATTTAAATTCCGACTGCGTTACATACTAAAAGAAATTAAAGCGATGAGATGAGAGCTCATACTGAGTTTGCAAAAAAGAGATCTCTGCAAGTTGGCACTGAGAAGTCTAATAGAGTAAGATCTGATACCGACAAACAGCTAGCTTCACTTGATGAATTGTCATTTTATTTGGTCATTTAACATAAAAAAAACTAATGTACTTTCTACCAACTAGACGTAATCTGGTGGAGATTTTGAGTTTAAATAGAAGGAAACTAAGGTGGCGCTAAAGCTCGATCTTTTTTTGTTCTTTATATTTTTACGAAAGTCATTCCATCTCGTATCATACATACACTTGAACATGATTCGTAAGAGAGGCAAGACTTCGGGCTTGACACGTCTGAAAACTTCTAAACTCTATTACTCTTTCGTATAGTTATGAAATAGCAAGGAGAAGCGCTGATGGAGATGATGACTTAATGATGCGAAAGTGGTGGAAAGTCGATTTGGCTGTTCTTGTCAACAATTCTCAACTTCACACGAAAGACGAAAACCTTCCCTGAGCTGCACCAGGTGCCCTGCATTGCCAAAGATAAATTATGGGATGTGTTTAACGGTTATTTAGAAAAGATGGAGTTTTTATTTTTAGAATCTATATTTCAATACACATATGAACCCAATTTAGAAGTCTACTAAGATTATGCAGGTTAATATTCGGTGCTTTGACTTGCGATATTGCCGCATGTTTGGGTACTGCAGGACTAGGCACCTTCTAAAATCTATGTTTTTGAAAAACAACTACAATTAAAGCAAGTTCCCTGTCAGATGCTGCTACTTAGCTCTGGGAGAACTTAATAAAGTGGCTAATGACCCTTCTTGTTCGAATTAAAATATCGATGCATTCGAGCAGGTGTTTCACGATTATATGCAAAAGGCATGCTTATCGCAGTTTAATTTGGCGATATCAGTTTAGGAATGTTATTGGCGCCCATTCCTTAGGCAACTCTAATCAACTCTTTCATCAACTTGCTTGAAATTGTTAACGTTGCTTTAAGAAGCATTGCAAATTTCTGCATTCCCTCACCGTTTTAAAAACAATAGAGTAAAAACTTAGTACTTCTGCCTTCAAAAAGGCGTAACAGAGATTGTTAAACTGACGCGTCAAATCTACGCACCCGTGCAACGCCAACAAAAGTAGCTCGTTAAAATAACAGCCATTTGATGAATCAATCTACTGAAAATAATGGCCTTAAATAAGAACTACATATACTTAATGCAAACTTAATGCTTGTTCGAGAGTGCATTCTTTAGCTAAAAACCGAAGGGGTTGTATACTATGAAGCGTCCAGCAATGAGATCTGATGGCTATCCAACAAAAGATTATGTGAAAAAAAGTTAAAAATGCATAGTGAGAGTCTGACAGCAGAGCAACGGAGTTAGAATAATTTTAGACTTTGTTCCTGAAATAATGAAGCAAAACAAGGTCCTCCTTTTTTGAATTATTTGATACAGTAAAAATCAGAATACAGAATGGAATTGTGAAGATCTGGGCAAGGCTGCTAATTGGGGAGAATGGCTTCGTTAGCAACTAATACCGCTAAGCATCGATCAGCTTGAAAGCAACACCCATGTTGTCCCTTTTGAGCAGTCCTTGTATACATTCCACAGAATAAGATTTCTTGAGGTTATAACATTTCATGCTACAATATTACTCACTCACGTAATATATTATATTGTAATGTTACGTAAATCTTATAAAACTTTTTTTTGTAGAGGGTTCAGGGATTATGAAATACAGTAGAAGTGATCTAATGGAGAGTTGCTGAAAAGTTGTTGTATTATTTTATCCGGCTAAAATATAATTCGATAATCTCGCTAAAAAAA